ATAGTGGAATGCGTTGAGAACAAAATAACAATAAAATGATCAATGTAAATCTAAATTATTATCCCATGGAGGTCTGGATTTGGAATCATACTCAAAATAAAAGTAGAAAATCACATTACAGGCTGATCCAACTTCAGTGGAAATTCCTCAAGACAAGTCAGAATGAGGCTCAGTAGTGTGTGTGGCCTCCATGTGCCTGTAGGACCTCCCTACAATGACTGGGCATGCTCCTGATGAGGCAGGATGTTCTCCTGAGGGATCTCCTCCCAGTCCTGGACTAAAGCGTCTTCAAACTCCTGGACAGTCTGTGGTGCAACGAAACATGATGTCCCAGATGTGCTCAGTAGGATTCAGGTCTAGGGAACGGGCAGGCCAGTCCATAGCATCAATGCCTTCATCATCACGAACTGCTGACACACTTCATCCACATGAGGCTGAGCATTGTCATGCATCAGAAGGAACCTAGGGCCCACTGCACCAGCATATGGTCTCACAATGGGTCTGAGGATCTCATCCCGGTACCCAGACCACCTCATGGAGTCTGTTTCTGACAGTTTGAGCAGAAACATGCATATTAGAGGCCTGCTGGAGGTCATTCTGCAGGGCTCTGGCAGTGCTCCTCCTGGTCCTCCTGCACAAAGGAGGAGGTAGAAGTCCTGCTCCTGGGTTGTTGCCCTCCTGCTGCCCCCTCCACATCTCCTGGTGTACTGGCCTGTCTCCTGGTATTTCCTCCATGCTCTGGACACTGTGCTGAGAGACACCGCAAACCTTCTTGCCACAGCTTGCACTGATGTGCCATCCTGGATGAGCTGCACTACCTGAGCAGCTTGTGTGGGTTTTAGAAACCACTTCATGCTACCTCTAGGGGTGAGAGCACTGACAAAATGCAAAAGTGACCAAAACATCAGCCAGAATGGCTGCTAATTGCTTCTCATTTCCACCTGTTGTCTGTTCCATTTGCACATCGGCAGGTGAAAGTGATTCACAATTAGTGTTGCTTCCTACCTGGACAGGTTGATTTCACAGAAGTCGACTGACTTGGAGTCACATTGTGTTGGTTAGGTGTTCCCTTTATTTTTTTGAGCAGTGCATAACACTCAGAGTCATTTCTCATTTACAATATCAGAAGCTTTAAGAGTCATTGTCTGTCTTCTTCAGACTCAACAACATTGTGACTGCAATTTCTGCATGTAATGCCTTTACAGATTCCACAGGCCCAGACGAGGGTGACCCCATTCGTCTTGCAGCTGGACATGTCCATGTACTCAACCATATCCCCTGCACATGTTTTCTGCACGTTGTATGCAGGGGACATGGATGAGTACATGGACATCTTCCTTGACACAGAAGCCACCAAGGAGGCAGTGATTCAGGCTGCGATTTTCCAGTACATTTATCACGGAGCAGATACAACACTGGGTGAAATTTGGTACAACATGTTCTCATGGAGGGCTGCAAGGTGGCTCGGTGGTTAGCATCGTTGCCTCAAAGCTAGAAGGTCACCGGTTGGCGTCCAGGTGAGGACCCCCGGGATCGTTCTGCGTGGAGTCTCCATGTTCTCCCCATGCAGCATGGGTTCTCTCCAGGTTCTCCGGCTTCCTCGCCCAGTCCAGAAACATGCTGAGGTTAACTGGTGATTCTAAATTGTCCGTAGGTGTGAATGTGAGTGTGCTTGGTTGTCTGTCTCTAAGTGTAGCCCTGTGTAGACTGGTTACCTGTCCAGGTGAACCTGCCTTCACCCTGAGTCTGCTGGGATAGGCTCCAACCCTTGTGAGATAATGGATGGATGTTCTCAAACCAGAGACTCTACCTCTAACAGACGGTGCAGCTGCACAGCATTCACTCTGCAGACCCAGGACTGGATCCTTCTACAGAACAGGTCTCTGAACCCCGATGACTATGGATGAACATTAGGTGTGCATGGGTATGAACCAGTTCCAACACTAGACCCCACGGTTCCTGACAAGCTTGTCAATTGTCATAGAGATTGCAGCAACCGGTGGTGCATCTGCAAGAAGAATGGGGTCACGGGCATCTTGCCTGTGGAGTCTGTAAAGGCATTACATGCAGAAACTGCAGTCACAACGTTGTTGAGTCTGAAAAAGACATAGACGATGACTCTTGAAGCTTCTGACATTATGACTGAGAAATAACTCTAAGTGTTATATAAGTATGTGAAATAAAAGCAACTGTGAATGTAAATGGAAATGTGAGTGTGACCTTTTCGACAATGGATTCTTTGTGGTGAAATATAAATGCTAACAACTCAGAATCATGAAAAAACCCTGATTTGAAAGCTTATAAGTTAGTTAAGGCCCGATTTTTTAAAAATCGATTTTTGTCAATTGTTTATAGATACTCTAACTTAAGTAGGTTTTTTTCAGGGTTTCCCACGGGAGTTGAACTTCAATATTTTAAGGCATGTTATTACACACCTTTACAAACATATTGGTGAAGAAATTGTTTGGTAATGATTTAGTTGGCAGATTTGTGAAAAATCTCATAAAATGTTGTTTTACCTTTAAAGTGAAAAAGAACTTTTAAAAAATATTCACATTTCAACATTTTTGCAACCCAAGAGAATCTGTCAGTGGAGGTTTTAAAGAGTTTAAAGCAACCTCCGGATGTCCTGCATTATTTGTATTTGCCATTTACAGTACAGTTTAACTCATGTTGCTGCAGTCGAATTCAAGAGGATTGACCTTCCACCCCATAGAGCTGAGCTGCTCCAATTAATCTACATGGAATCGACCTCTGCTTATCCTCTTCCCTCTTCTCTGACCTCCTCACCTTTCCCCTCCACTTCGGTTTTCTCACGCAAGCACACACACACACACACACACACACACACACACACACACACACACACACACACACACACACCTACTCTCCCTTCAGCCACTCACTGCTGTCCAAAGTGTTTGGGGAGCCTCCACTACAGCCTTCCAGCTGATTCTGAGTCTTTCTCGCAGATATGCATGGGACAGAATATTCACACACACACACACACACACACACACACACACTTATCAGCTGTTATGGCAGCAATTTGATTGATTCCTCTTTGTCATATTTTGTTCCCAGACTCCACTGTATGACTTAAAGTGATTTTTATAGCGCGTTCTGTGGGAAAATGTTCTTTTAATACCGTGGACTGTTTGCTGGAGCCTGCCTCGGTCTTAGTGAAAGCATCAGAAGATAAGTATTGTTAACCTTGGCGCCGCTTCACTTAGTTATTGTCATGTAGGTGTGATGAATAGAGAAGAAGGGAACAGGAAAAAAAATGAACTGTGGAAGGACATGAAGAGGCAGGACAAACAGAGTGGGGGGAAAATCTTCAGCGTGATGCAGAGAAGGACACTGATTCAGATGATGACACTGATCACACACAAGCTGAAGTCTTGTTTTTTTGCTTTTATCTTTCTGCAAAACACCAACAGCAACTCCAACAATATGTTTCGGCTGTTCAGCTTCTCATCAGTGTGAAGTATGTACATTGTAAACAGAGCCGTGGGACATTGGCCTTGTCATTTAAACGACTTTTGACCCACAAAGCAACACCATGTATCTTGGGGAGTGCAAAGAACAGCCTTGAGAAATCGCCTTTTTTTTTTCTTTTTTTTTGGGTGACATGGGGCTGCTGTGCTCAGAGTATGGAAAAACATGTGTCTGCATGTGTGCGTGTCTTTGTTTTGCACTGATGACTCAGATTCTTTACATTAAGAGACATTCCTCATTTATAATGCAAACAATAAGTAGCCCCAGTTTATCGCTTCCATGTATGATCATAACATTCAAGCCGAAAGTCTCCATTCTGCTTACAGCTGTTCTAAAGGCAAAACCTTTGATCTGCAGAACAAGGAAAATGTCAAGGTCTGATTTCTATAAAGCAGGCAACCAGAATTGAGCAATAATTATATCTATATTTTGCACTACCTTTCCCAACTACCAAGAATAAAATTGACAGTCCTAAAAGAATCCAGTACAAAATGAAACAGGATAAAATAATATAATATTGTCCAGGAGATAACAGGGAAAAAAGGACAATATGATCAATGTTAATTAATATACAGCAAGTAATTACAATTTTCATTTCCACACTGTATCAACTGAGCAAGAAGTTGAGTCATTTTCCTGGAGATAAGAGTTTAAAAGGTGATTGTGCTCAAATGATCTCATCAACAGTTTAAAACCAACAAATACACTCTTAAATATTCTTTTAAAAAGAGTAAAACACAACAAAACCTCACATTAGAGAAACTGTAGTGATCAAATCATTTGCATTTCTGCTTCAATATTTTTACTCCAATGACCACTATAATAACTACATAAATCATTTCCAGGATAATGTCCCATAAATCAGTTATGTGCAATAGATGCATCTCCAATCATTTCTACTCTACACGCACAAAGATACAGTAACGTACCAGAAGTGAGAGAGCAGCACACCTGTAGCAGCCCCGCATGCTGCTGCGTTTGCTCACACTTTTAGAGCTGCTTCTGAAGATTTCTCCTTCAGATTTCAGTGAGAATCTTTCTCAACAAATCCCTGATTTCCCCCCTGATATTAAAAACGAAGGAAGTGATAATTTCCAGTTCATCTCTTGGCACACACAAACCTCCGGTGTGGGGACAGTCTGCTGTTCATTTCCTGACAGAAGGAAAATGAATAACTGCAACTGCACTGTGGCAAGATTAGTCTAAACACGCTGAATTAAAGCCGATATTAATCATTAAAATGAACGCTGTCCGTGGCAGACTAACAGTTTCGGTGTGCACAAGTGGGAATATTGGAGACACGCGCGTACACTGCAAGTTCGTCAAGAGCTATGGCACACATATGTAAAACCCCTCACAGCCGTCTTACATTCTGCAGGCGACTGCCAGCTCCAGATTCATATTGTCCCTTTTAATTCCGCTCAGTGGGGAAAGAGAAATAGAGGAGACATGCGCGTAAAGCATCAAACAAACCAGCCATAATACAGTTTTCTGATACTGACCTGAAGCACAGTCTTCATGGTGAAAGGAGAGACGATAGCGGTGCAAATCTTCTCGCCTTTACGCACCACCTGCCCCATGATGAAGAGCATCGGCGTGGCGAGCGCGAAGGACGCGATCCACATTGCGCTGATGAGCTTTTTGGTGCGGCTGCGGGACATGATGCTCTTGGCTTTGAACGGGTGGCAGATGGCCATGTAGCGCTCTACGCTCAGGCTGGCGATGTTGAGAGCCGTCGCGTAGGAGCAGCTGTCCCGGAGAAAGTAGTAACCCCTGCACACAGCGTCCCCGAACACCCACGGGTGGTGGAACCAGATGAAGTTGTAGAGCTCAATGGGCATGGAGAGGACGAGGATGAGGAGGTCGGACACCGCGAGGCTGGCCAGGTGGTAGTGCACAGTGCTCTGCAGGTTCTTCAGGGTCTTTTTGGTCAGCAGGGTGTACAGGGTGACGGAGTTCCCCAGAGAGCCCACCGCGAACAGAGTCACGTAGATGACAGTGACTATCACCTTGGAGTAAACGTCCGTGTTGACTTCCAAATCTTCCTCCTCCGTTTTAGAAGCGGCGGTGCTGTTATCAAACGAAAACAGTGAATTATTCTCAAAGAGTCTCTGCGCCAGAGCGCCAAAGTCGCGCCCCGAGAGCGTCAAGTTTAAATCCATTTCGCTTTTATGTGTGAGAACATGTAAACAGAAAGTGCGGGCTGTTCAAACTATGCGGGCCATGTGTCGAGATTGACTTGGAGAAAAACGGATTAGATGAGTGGAAGTCGGAGGAGAGCAGCTTTTATATTTGGCACGACAGGAGGCTTGTCTGCTATTGGCGCTGCTGCGATGACGCACGGCCATTCACGGAGAGGAGCCCTTTCCATTCTGTCCGTTTATGGCTCACCTTGGAAACAAGCAGCATCAACAGATCAACAAATCAAGAATTGCAGGCATTTAAATTCAAGTGCACTTTCTAATAGACGCTGCTTTTAGTTTCTTAACTTAGAATTCTCTCTGCATGGAGCTCATCTCTTCTCCGCCTCTCAGTCTGGCGCAGAAGTGCAAAGAAGTAATGTTAGGTGACTGCTGGAGACCTGACTTCAGCGCATCAGTTTGTGCTCAGGGCTGCAGTTAGGATTGTGTCTTCAGTGCTAATGGTCCACTCTCACTGTGGAGAGATATTATCACTGGACAGGCAGAGAGGAAATGTTACTCTAATGGCTACTTTATAACAGCTGCTGAAACCAATGTAGCAAAGCAGTCCACTTCTCTGTGACACACACACACACACACACACACACACACACACACACACACACACACAGCATCTCTTTCCGCATGGTTTAACACCCAGTGGTATGTCTAAACACCCTAATGGTCTTTTACACATATCACTTCAATTCTTTTACAGGGCATGTCCCCGCCTGGGACCTCGTTATCAATCATACATGTTGCATGCCTGTAGACACACACACATACACTTTTAATTTAATGCTTTACAGTGTGTGTACATGTTGCAGCTTCTTGTCTGTTTGCCATCAACAATCAGCTCCTGACATTCCTTGTATTGCGAGGAAATGCCCTCTTCATAAATAGGAAAATCTTCTCATGTTTCTGGCCCCAGGACCAGTGTATCTCATGAAGTTCAGTGTGTCTGGCTGACAGGCTGTCACCCAGCAAAATAAACATATGACATTACTTATAATAAGTGCCAGCCTGTCATAGTTTGTTCTGTTGTGGCTAAGTTTAATTGCATGGTACAGCTGAGCACACACTGTATCTCTGCAGTACCTTAAATATGATGTTTCCTGTGGGACAGGATGTCTGTTTTACTAATGGTTTTTCCTTATCACCACTTCCCTGAGGGGTTAAGGGTTTTGCATTGTTGGGTTAGCAATGAGAAGACTACAGTGTATACACCTACTGCATATATTTTCTTGTTTAAGGAAATTTAAGGGTTAAAATAGGCAGAAACCGTATTAAATGTGCATGCAATGCAATTGACACATTGTTCACATTTCTACTTTAGTTTTTTGTTTTTTCTTTGTGCTATACAGTACTGTCTTTTCCTTTCTTAATGGCAATGACATGGTCTGCCAACATATTACAGTACAAACAGTGAAAAGCATAAATGTGAATCTTGTCAAGTCTCTTGCAATCAATCTCCCACATAATTGTCATCAAAACTTTAGTCACAGTTTACATCAGAACATCCCTCCAGACTAGACTGTCACACACGTAAACAAAATTGTTGGTATCCCTCGGTTAATGAAAGAAAAATACACAAAAATAACTTGACTCCGACAAAAGTAATTCTAAATAAAAATTCAATGAAAATTAAGCAATGAAAATAAGTCATTGCTTTTGAATCGTGGGTTCAACAGAATTATTTTGAAAAATAAACTCCTGAAACAGGCCTGGACAAAAATGATGGTACCCCTAGAAAAGACTGAAAATAATGTGACCATAAGGATATGTTCAATCAATGTGTGTCCTCTAATTAGCATCACAGGTATCTACAAACTTGTAATCAGTCAGTTGGCCTATTTATAGGACTACAAGTAGTCACTGTGCTTTTTGGTGACATGGTGTGTACCACACTAAAAATGGACCAGAGGAAACCAAGGAGAGAGTTGTCTCAGGAGATTAGAAAGAAAATTATAGAGAAGCAAATGTCGCAGATGATTCGAGAAATGTACCAAAGCAACTGAGAAAATCTGTTAAAAAGTCAGCACAAGGAGTTGGAGACAAGCAATGTCAAACTCTGCACAGTCAGTGTATAAACCATATTAAAAATCTGCAGTACTTTCAAAGCCTTTGACCTTTGAAAGCGTTGACACTGAACTGCTTCAGACTTTGCAGCCACCATTGTCTGAAACTGTAGCCCTGCAGCTGACCAATAACTGGAGCCAAACATTTGATCAAATGAACTGGAGCAGAAAAAAACACACACATTAGTTAAAAATACTGATGTATTTTCATCGCTTATGCTGACTAATCACAGCAGCTTTATGGCATGTCATGAAAAGTTTCAGTTCACATTAAAAAAAACCTACAAAGTTTACATTCACACAGGAGTCCATGTATTTGTTCTCCAGTCTAACTAAGCTGTGACAGATTTACAGTTATAAAGTTGTGCATATAACATTTCAAATATTTACTTTTTTGCTGTAGCAACAATGAAAAAGCTTTTCCATGAGTATTACGAAGCTAAAAGCAAGGTCGTGCCTAAATAAAGCTGCACAGAGTTGCACTTTGCGGAAATTACTATATTAGCAAGACTGCAACCAAGCATTTATTCAGCTTTACAATTTTAATGACAGAAATTTCAAAAGTCAAAGAACAAAAAAGGGAACTTTTTTTGTTGCTATATTCTATAGCAATGGGTGGTACCACAAGATTTAAGAAGCACAGAAAGTCTCTATAGTTTATGTAAAACAACAAACATATCTTTGGCTTTAAAAGAATACATCTTTCATATCTGTGCACCTCGGTAACACTCTTATAAACATTACTGACCCATGAGAGACTTCTCTTTCTGTTAGTGCAAGAAGCATATTTTCCTGAGACCAACATTTTTCCGACCCCTTCACTGTCCCCCTTGTAACCTCTGGTGAGTACAGCCTTCAGTCAGACCACACTGTTAGAAATGTACCTTGTTATGTTGCTGTAAACTGTCTAGAGTAGAATAGGCAAGACTGCCATCCCGAATTCTCTCTTAGTTATTCCTGTGTCCAGATGGATACATATGAGAGAGCATTTGGAAACAGTACGTCCTGGTGAAGAGTGTTTCAGGGAGAGCTTCTCAAATCTCCTGCGGCTCCGGCCTCACAATGCTCAGGCTGAACTAGCAACAACACAACTTTTATTGGAATTATGTTCAACCAGCAAACTGTTAAGAGTTAGAAAAGTTAACCTTATCTCTACAATTGAGGGTATTTTAATTAACAGTCTTATATGTGTGAAAGTCTCCAGATTGGAGGAGCTTTAATTGGTGCATGTTTTTCATCGACAGTGCCCAAACACAGTGGGATGTTCTAAAATCTCCAGAAATCCTGTACTATGCCCGCCCATTCCGCCCAACACAAAGTAGTTGCTCTGTCTTGTAAAAAGTACAAAATCAGAGCCTTTTGGAAACATCCACAGGAGCCCCATGTGTTTTTCTGTGTGTGATATAGGGCACAATGTGACTGTCTGCCTAGCAGACCAACACATACAGTTGTCTTCAATTTTATTTATACCCTTCCATTAAAGAAAAGGAAAAATTCACAATAGTCACTCAAATAACTACAAACTGGAAAAAAAGTAATAATACATAGAAATTTGCTAAATTATGTTTCAGTGAAAAAGGACACTGCTTTTGAATTGTGGTTGAAAAGAATAATTAAAAAAAAAAAAAAAAAAAACTCTCCCACACAAATTAGAGCACTCTGCTGATGAGCAGTGGGCCAAAATCAAAATACCTGTCAACAGGTGCAGAAGTCTGATTGAGAATTACAGAAAACACTTGATTGCAGTGATTGCCTCAAAGTGTTGTTCAACAAAATATTCATTTACGGGTCCTATCATGCTTGCTTTTTTTGTTTGTTTGTTTGTTTTTATTATTTTTGTTGAACCACAAATCAAAAGCAATGTCAAGATTTTCATTAAATTTTTATTTATTATTACTTTTGTCAGTTTGAACTTATTTCAGCTGTTTTTTTCCTTCTTTAATGGGAGGGTATGAATAAATTTGAGGACGACTGTACCTACTATAGTGTGAATAGCACACCACTTGTCCACTTTTAAAGTTTGCAGTCATCTGTAGAAAAAGCATGAATTGCCCTCAGCAATTAAGAGGTGATGTCATGTTTCAGACTCAAGAAATTGCACCAACTTTAATAGACATCTGTCACATAGCACCTGAAATTATACTTAGTACAGACCCTCCTCCTTCTGTTATTGGCAGCATGGCTCTCCCTTTACCTCCTACCTCACTGCTGTCGCTTTGGTTTATGTTCAGTCGATGCTGATGATCTTGTTCCTTCTCCCATCTTTAGCTCCATAATCTGGTTTCTTACTTGTCAGGCATCTCCTCACCATGTGGGGCCCTTAACTGTATGTATTTTTCCGACCTCCTTCACCCGTACGCCCTGAATAGAGCTCTCAGGTCAGACCAACAAAAATTACTTGTTTCCCTCAATCCAAGTGCAAGATGACTGTGCTTTTCAAGCTCTCACACCAAAACTGTGGAATGCTCTTCCTCTACAGGTGAGATTGGTCGACTCCTGTGAAACTTTTGAGGCATCTATTTTATTTTATTTTATTTTATTTTATTTTATTTTATTTTATTTTATTGTTTTTGATGCACTGCATTTTAGCTGTTGCTTCACTGTTTTATCAATTTATTACCTTTATCATTATTGTTTTTGTTTTTATCCATTGTTGTAAAGCACTTTGTGATTTTGAGTCTGTGAAAGGTACTTTATAAATTAATTTTACATACTTACTGAATTCAAACTAAATATATAGTAATATTTTGGGTGTAAAACCAAACATTAGGAGCAACATGTAATGCAGAATATTCATATTTTTTTTGATTTTCTTTTTGGCTGCTGACAAATGCTCTGTTGTTTCTGTTAATTCCATTTATTACCAATGTTCTGTTTGATGTTAAAGGGAAAAAAGTCAAAAAG